TAATTCGAATAGGATTTTGGGGGTTCCTTATTATACGCATAGTAGAATCAACACCCCCAACCCTATTCTGCTGATTAAGGCCCCTATATTGCAGAATCTTCGAACCGGTAGCCAGAGGCGGCAAGGATAAACAAGACATCGGGTTTAGGGTTTAGGGTATAGGGCCATGCAAAGCCCAAGCCCATATGGCTGATGATATAAATCCTGCAGTACCCATCATCGGGAATTTACCATAATTCCCATAGTTTAGGGTCCTTAAGCTGTTGCAGAATTTACCCTAAGGGTCCAAGTACTCAAATAGTAGGGTTTCAAGTGCCAAAAACTATTCAGAATATGGAAGTTGGGACCTAAAACCCTACTATTTGGGTACTTGCACCCTCTAGGTTATATCATCAACCGTATCAAGTTCCCAAAATCCTGAAAGGAACCCTGCACCCTCTACCTTTCCGTAGTCGCAGCCGTGCGTCTCTCGTTGGTGCCGTAGACAGGCCATGGAAATCGCGGCAGACCTCACCGCTTCTCGAGCTTTTTGACGAGTTCCTGTAGACTTGATTGCGGGATCGGGGCTTCCAAGTAGGATGCATAGGCAGGTTTGCCCTTAAACCCTGAACCCTTAACCCTAAAAGCGCTAAGCAAAAGCAACTGGTGCCCCTGAAACCCCCCAAACCCTGTAAACCCCAAAACCTGTAAACCCCATACCCTGTAAACCCCTAAACCCCTAAACCCCAAACCCCCCCCAACCCTAAACCCCAAACCCTGCAAACCCTGTAAACCCTGTAAACCCAAAACCTCGTGCTGCCCCAGAGGCATGGATTATGCTCGCAAGTTCGCTGGCTTCGAACTCGAAGTCCTGCGGCGAAATGCAAGGTTCACCTGATGCTGTAACCGCTTTCAGTGTAGGGCTTAGGGTTACAGGGCATTGGGGTTAAGTTCTAGTTTGAGCCTTCTGGCTAAGGTCCAGGGCTTAAGGGATTTGGGGCTGTAGTGCTAAGGCCATAGCCCACCGAAGGGAAAATCATTCAAACACACTTGGGCTGCTTATGTTTGTTGGGGGAGGGGTTCTAATCTTCGGGACATGAAGGGTTCAAGCTTGAAAGGGTTGTTGGGTCCGGGTTCAAGCTTGGGGAAAATTGGGACGTAGGGCAGCGTAGAGTTTGACGTTCCGTGGTTTGGGGATTGGGGTTTAGGGTTTTGGTAGAAGCCTCGGGTTTTGGTAGAAGCCTTGGGTTTAGGGCTTTGGTAGAAGCCTTGAGTTTTGCCCACCCCAAAGAGAGCCCAGAACTGCTTGATCAAGGAAGCCTCCTTATCCTTATCTCAATCAGCCCCCGGCTTCTTGTTGCGGTTTCAAAAGACTATTGAAGAGGCCACCGACTTATATAAGCCTTACATCATTAAATTGCTCTACATAATGTACGCCCCCCAACACCCTGTTCTCTCCAAAACCCTCTTCCAGTTAGCGAGGCCCATACAGACTCTGTAGACTGTATGGCCCCTATAAAGTCACAACAAGTGTGCAAAAACCCTATAAAAATCCAACGAAACCCTACCCTAAACCCTAAACCCTAAACCCTAAACCCTGAGCCCCAAACCCTAAACCCAAAACCCTAGGCCCTAAGCCCTAAGCCTTGCAACACAGCAT